GCCCTTCAACCTTAATCCTGAAGCCCTAAACCCTAAACCTCAATCTCTATACCTTAAACCGTCAAGCTTAACACTAATCCCTAAACCGGACCTTAACCCTAAACCCTCAACGCTGACCCCTAAACCTAAACCTTAAGCCTAAACAGGCTCCAAGGCACTTTTCAAGCCCCAGGTTACCTTGAGAGGCAACACCCAGCAATTATGGGTTCTCCTAGCAATGTTAAGTTTCAGGCCCTTAGCCTTAAGCCCCCTCAAACCCTAAACCCTAAACCCACTGTACTGCTTCCCAGGTATCTCAATGAACCTTACTTCGCGGTTAGATAGATTCAACTGGGGGATGGGGGTAATACTGCCGGGGGGGGAGGGAGGGGGGGGGCGTAGTGGAGGGAACCCTAAACCCTAAACCCTAAACCCTAAACCCTAGTTTACACCCATCAGGCCCAGCGGAAGCGCAACTTGGACCTGGGATTCGACCTTGATCTTACCAAGCAGCGCGAAGAGAAGTTCCGTCGCATCGTAGACGAGGACTCCCAAAGGGAGGGCAAGGGGCAAGTACATAGGGAGGCAAATACCCCTTGCCTCAGCAATGTACCTGTATATCATTCAGGGTATATCGTCTGAATGAGGAGTACTGGGCTGCCTGGATTTGATGGTTTGATTTTTGGCCGTAAGCTCCGAGAAGAATTCCCTCTCCTAACTGCAGCGATTGAGCTAACCTCAGCCCCCAAAGTTACAACCAACTATAGCTATGCGATAAGAACAGGGTCTGATTCTAAGGGTTGGGGTTACCAAAGTGAATTGATTGGCCAGGTACCCCAGTAGTACCCTCGTTCCTTTTTTGTTTTGGGGTCTCCTTAGTAAAGCTGAACACTAGGAAAAAGGGGGTACCCTCATTAATACGGGGCTACTGGGGAACCTAGTTGGGCTCTCCTTGAAGCTTGTGGCAGGACCCTCTGCTGCGACAGCGTTCGCTCGCTGAGTTCGTTGCCTGCTTGAAGGATGTACGAAGGCGCTTGCCTGCTGAGCCTATCTGCACTGCGGAGGACAGCGGGATTGCGGGATTTCGAATGTTTAATTCAGGGGTCTTCTCTTCAAGGAGTTTACCCCAAATCATTCAAGAGTTCCAGCATTCCTCATGGTCTTCTGCTTACTGAGCTCTCTGGGAGCATGTGGGAAGAAAACTTAGTCAACAAGAAGAAAAGCTGGAGTCGCTGCAGCTTGAAGACTAGTCACGTCTGAAAGTTCAGGGTTTTTTGCTTGGATGTTTTGGCACCCAGCTGTATCCAGGCTTTGGAAGGATTTGACTTCTGCGTGTCTCTTAGACTGAAGGTTCATAGATTAGGCCGCACCCAGAGAGCCTATTAAGCCTTGTGCAACGAATCTGTCAGTATCTTAGGATCCTTAACATACTCCGTACTTACGGGTATTGTGCTCCGCAGTGTGGCGAGGATGGGCAGCACTGACAGGTGTTGAGCCGTAATTGTGGACCCATTATCCTGCAGCTTCAGGTGTTTCAGGGTTTAGGGTTTGGGGGTTTTAGGATTTAGGGCATGATCAGGACCTCTCCGCTAGTTCGCGATATATCGCTTTGATGGATCCCTTGATGGCTTTTCGGGCACACACCGCATAATCCAGTGTGAGAAAGACGTTTTCTGCGGTCTATGGCGGCTGGTAAACGGCTTCTGCTTATTGAAGGACTTTGTGGGGCATCCTGCATATGGCTCGTCAAAACATCCGTCCCCTCCCCTACTGGGGCATCCTGCATATGGCTCGTCAAAACAGCCGTCCCCTACCCACCCTCAATCTAGTCGTCCATATTCTATTTAGACCACAACTTGCAGAACCGCCCATCCCAAGACAGATGATTCCTGTCCTCTTAGAACAATTCTACCCCTACATAACCTCCAAGCAATCTGACCACCATTTCATTGCGGCATGTTGTGAACACTGGTTCTTAGGGCGTGGTCGGGGCTACTACTAGTACATGGAATTCTTACATCCACACAAAGCTAGTTTCCATGTTATGTTCCAGTCGATAATTGCGCATGATTAGGAGGTGATTCATGTTGAGTCCCGGTAAGTGTGGGAGGGAGGGTGTATAAGTGTAAAGCTTCCAGCTTTTCTTTCTGGACCTCCTATTCGATTTGGGGAGGGTGCCAACTTGATTGAGCAAAATTCTCGGCATGGTTGGTGGGTAGTTCCCAAAATTAGGGTCCCATTTTGGTACCCCCAGATACTATGTGCCGTAATATAATCTATGACAAAAGCGGCCCATAATTTTGAGAATAACCCTTATGATGAGGCCAGAGTTCTTTTGGTTTGGAAAGCCAGGCCATTAAACATGAAGGCCGGGCTTAGGGTTTACGGTTTGGGTGCATTCGCTTTGGGGTGTCTCAAATGAGTACTGATTTTTGGGTGGGTTAATGGTAAGGCCATTCTAGTTTGTTGTGCTTGCTGTTAATGCAGTTTCTCAGTGATGTTCACTCAATTTCCCAGGCCATTAAGCCTATAGGCCATGCTTTATTTCCTAGTGTCCTAGTCTCTACAAAACTAAACTGAACTTATCACTGTCCTTCCCTCTTCTCTTCCCTCTCTTGTGAACTCATTTTGAACTGAATAGAAGTGGAAGGCCCCCTTCCCTTAGTGATTTCAATAGAAGCCGTAGGATCCCCCAGGCCCCCCAAATTCGTTTTGAGGCCTTGTTATATTATAGAGCCCCCCCCCCTGTTGTTTGTGGGCCGCGCGCTCTAATCAGGATCGCACAGTAGTGTTTTTCACTGGAAGTTTCTCAAACCAGAGGAACTGAGGTTCAGGGTTAAGGGATATTCAGGGGCTGAAGGGAGATTATCTAAGGGTCCGTGTTAAAGGACTAGATAGGATTCTGTTTTTGGGGAAGTCCCGTATGAAAGAATCCTGTTGTAGTGTTGGGATTGCTTTATGAATATGGAGAAGACATGGGGAAGTTAGAATGGATGTTTACCTTACCTGTGGTTAGCTGGGGAAGGAAGGAAGGAATGGAAAAGAGAATGGTAACTACTATAACGGGTTATATATATATGGGGACTACTATAATATGGATCCATTCCTTCATTCCTAGCTAACCACAGGGAGTAGGTGCGACCAACGTGAAACATCATGTCTGGAGGACGGTTCCGACTTTGGTGAGTTCATCAAGACGGTCGGCGACCTTTGTGATAAGCATGCTCCAGCACAGGGTGAGGGAGGGCCATGAGAATGCTTTTGGTGGGTCGGGGTTTGCCGGGGCATGCTGACATATGAAAATCTTGATGCATGCCTCCGTAGATCTTTCAGCAGTGAACTCACACAAAACCAACTGTCCCCCTGTAACGAGCCTACCAAGATCACGCAGAAATGTCTGATATTACTGGTAGAGGGCGTCAGATAGTTTTGGATTTTGCTTGCTTGCCCAGATAGTACCAGCAGCACGAATGTGGAATTTTCCCTAGGCAGGCAAACTCCAGTATAGACCCCAAACACTAGAATCTTTCTCGTGGGGATTTCCCAAACAAGCGACCCCTAATTCACGGAAACTGCCAAAGGCTCTATATACCCTTGTACGATCCTACTAATCCCTTTAGAGAGACCCCTATTCATGAGAACCCCCATGTATCCATGTCCTGACAGTGCTGGCATCTCCACAGACAGCAAGGCAGGAGATTGAAGCAAAAAAGATGATGATATCTTGGGCACTGGCACCACCTCGTAACAGCGTATGATCAGGGTGTAGGGTTTGGGGTGGAATGTAGTCATATCACAAACATTATTCGACTGTCACCGGGTGGGGGCAGTACCACTTGATGTCTGCTTTGGTGTGCATGAGCCGAACTGCCAGCATAATGAACGCGGTCTGGGGTTTGCAGTAGCCCTTGGGATCCAAATAGCCCAACGTAGGTAAGATTTACAGACTTTAGAGCCCAATGTGGGTATTGTTTGTATATTTGGGTCCTGAGGGTAGGGGTGCACCATCCCGCTGCCCGATACCTTCGCAGTTCGTTTTAGCTCCCGTGGTACGCCATTTCCTCCTTCAGCAACATGATGGGGATTCCCCCAAAATGGTCCCTGGGTCGTCGATGAGTAATGTCAATTTCCGTTGTTTTACTTGACGACCGCCTGACTCAACCCAACAAATCACCAGAAACCTTTCCCAAAAATAAAATCCGCAAAACCGCAGCAACCCTTTTCTCAACCCACAAAACACCAGAAGACCCTAATGTAGAGCCCTGATTAATACACCCCCTCCTTTTAACGGCCTTAATATTAGGATCCCAATCATAACCCCTATTAAGGGGAGGGGTTTTATTAACCAGGGGTCTGGGTCAGGGCCAGATGCCCCACTATAGTAGTTTCCATTGTCTCTCCCATTCTCCCCATATAACCTATATTACCTTATCGTATGCCAATATTACTTGACCTCTCCCATTACTGGAAGACCAGCAGACGACCATAGGGCCAAGGTTATGAGATCTGATATGCAGCAGTCTCTGCTCAAGCCTCTAGGGCCTCGAGTGGGACATGTCCATTAAGGTTTAGGTTTTAGGGTATAGGTTTTAGGGCATGTTTTTCGGGAACATGTACAAGGACAGAAGATTAACATGAGTATTCCCGAGCAATTGAGAACAACTAGTTCAACTTTAAGTGTAAAGCTGTAGGCCAGATCGATCGAGATGCCCAGCCAAACTCTTTTACCCCAAATGATGTTTGCACAGCTTTCGGAGAGAAGCTAACAGCGACTTTCATAACTGGTTTCACAGATCCGGCCTCTCTTGACAGGGAGCGTTTCACCACTGTTGAAGCAAAGCTCTTCATGCGCTGAGCCTCTGCTGCGAGGTGGCAACAACATGCAGCTCGGCAGGATGCTGTGCTTCCCGTTCATGTGGTGATGTCGCATGTTAGTGCTGGCATGCGCAATGCACATCATGCGAGAGGGAGTGGATGCAGAAGCAAGAGGAAAAACTGAGTTCATGAGCCCGAGACTTGAGGCCACAGTCGCAAACTACCTCCAAGCAGACGATTTCCAAATTCAGCGAGCGGCGCAGTAGCACACGAGTGCAGAAATGCCCCTGTGGCCTGTTTGGAGGTAGGACTTAGTATTGGAATCTTGCAGTCTCTGGACCACTTTAGATGAGGGAGTTCATGGAGGGGCCGGTATGGGGCTTCTCAACAAAAGTGCGTGACCATGGGCTATCATTGGAAGACAACTCAAAGGTTGCCATGGTAGGATTTCACTACAACTTTAGCAACTCAGTGCTTTCGGGGTTCTTCTCTGCGCAAAAAAGCGGGAAGTAAAAGTTAAACGAGCAGCGGACGGTTGAACGCGGGTAGGTTTAAAACTGTTCTTTCTTTTCCAATACCCTTAATCCATCCATAATCCTCATAAAAGGCATAAAAATTCAGTTTTTCTGCCCCCGAAACCAACTCCTGAAGAGCAACCAAGTTGAGAAAATCCATGGTTAAGACCTAGGGCACCCCCAAATTCTTTCGTAAACCTAGAAAGCCCAATATCCCCGGTTCGGTTCAGGGTTTAGGGTTCAGGGTTAAGGGAGAATGTTCCTTAGATCATAACAGGGATTCTATAGCATCGTTTAGGGTATATTCCCTAATGAAGGGAGATTGGAACGCTGACTCCAGCGAAGTTTGGTGCCCTGGGACCCTGGCAGGTCGTTGACCAAGGACTTAAGCTGCAACCTGCCACTCATAATCTAGTGGCTTCAATAGTTGCCAGTAGCATTGTCACGATTGTACCTCAAATACACCCCGAAATGATACTCGTGCATCATGTAGGTCTCCGCAGTGACTTGTCTTTCTGGTTGTAAGTAGGGAATAAGGGAATATACATTATAGGGGTTATAATGCAATATCCCCTGCTAACAGCCAGTAGCTTGTTTACAGAAGCTTATCTAAACCTTAAGCCCTAACCCCTAGACCCTACGCCCCTAGACCCCAAAACCCCCAAAACCCCAAAACCCCTACACCCTAATCCCAGCTGAATCTGACAAGGACTCCACCTGACTTTTAGGTCATAAAGCACCAAATGGAGTTTGACCTGAGGTCCTCTTCGAAAATTGTTCTGGTTTCCTGCAGGCCTGGAAAGAGAAAATAGGACAAGGACGTTGGTATAGTCCCCCTTAAGTAGATAGAATATGGGGTATCTGGGGATCTTAGTATAATATACCCAAAGTCACATTCTATCTACTCAGGGGGGACGATAATCATCTCTATAGTGAAGCGTGTAGAGTATAATCCAAGGCTTCGTGGCATTTGCCATCTTCTTTTGCATTTGATTCTTTCATTGCTGGGATCATACCCTGAAGCCTGGAGTGTAGAACACGTAACAAACCTTGAACTCGCCAAGAACAAACCTAAACCCTAAGCCCTAAACCTGAAACCTACAAACCTAAGCGCGAAACCCCAAACCCCGGAGCCCGGACCCTGAACTCCCCAAATTCACTGCCCAACACCTAGGCTGGTTTCCGGTGCGAGTCTGCTGGGACACTGACAAACTCGGGCTGAGATTCGGACCGCTGGAGGACTTCCTTATAGCAGCAGTTGAGTTTAGGGTTTAGGACTTACGGTTTAGGGTTCAGGGATGAGGGCTTATAATGACCCCAATAATGCAGAACCGAATGGGCAAGAGATGGAAAACAAAATGGAGACGGGAGCGATACACACAATGCGACACTAATTACCAACATTATGGCCATTTTCTAGCGTACCTTAAAAGAGCTTCAAGCTGACTGATGTTGGCAATTGTTTCAGCGACTACAGTACGACCCACGATGAAGGTGGAAGGCAAGGCCGCAGGGCGTTTTGGGGTTCAGGGTGTAGCAAGTATAGGGTTTATAGGGGTTTATAGGGGTTTATAGGGGGGTTTATAGGGCTTATAGGATTTAGGGTTTAGGGTGCGCAAGCTTGGCAATTTCATCCCGAGTTCTTCCTGCAGACCTATGTAGTGTAGAAAACGATTCATTTGACTGTTTAAGTTCCTTAGGCTCCTACGCGATTTTCGGCCCAAGGTTTATTGCAGAATTGGAGCGGTTTGAGCTAGCGTGGGAGCTTGGGCCGTTCACAAGATACCTTCCTTTAAAACAACGTGGAACGCCAAAAAGGACACTGTAAGGACCAGCGTTTTTTGGGCGCTACTTGGATCTCCCATATTATTTTGGGGGAGGGCATGTTCCAGAGTTAAAAGAGTTACAGCTTCTGCCCCTACTTCTATCAGGACTTCCTGCTTGGAGCGACTAGCAGCCTTGTGGGTGAGGACTAGGCATCAGGATTAGAGGATATTTCGGCCTGAACCTCAATGTGGTTGCTGCAACGCAGAATGGACTCTATGTATTGGTGCTGTGGAGCCAATGGAGCACCCCAAGTACACGTTCCCCGTAGCTTTCGTATAGCCCCACAGCACCCAAGTTCAAACCTTACGCCGTGCAGCTAAGCCCTAGGTATAACCCCAGACGGCCCCATGGCATCTTCCATCCTTCCTCAACCCTAAACCCTTATAAGCCCTGGGGGTTACCGAGATCCTCTTATTGCAGTAGCACAGCCCTAGGTAGGGAAGCAACAGAGTTATAACCGGATAACATCCCAAAGTCGCGCCATGAGAGGTTACACCCGTGTTTCGGAATATGCCAATCTAGCCCCCCAAGCCATATATCCTTACGTGTTCCCAGTTCCCACTTCAACTTTTTATTTGATGCCCCATGATGTAACCCCAGCCCCTAAAAGCTAAACCTATCCTAATGTGAGAGGAGCAGGAGGGTGGCTTGCCTGTGAGGCGTGCGACCGATTGGGGTCTGTTGTTCATCTGACCTGGACCCTACAACTTTCAAAAAGAATTTCCGAGCCCTGAAAAATTGGCCAAACAGGCCAATAGTCAACAGCAAACGTAGGTAAAGTAATTCCTTAAATCCCACGGCGAAGCGTCAAAAAGGCCACTATTCTACATACCTAGGGGTTCAGCAAGGGCGCGGTTCAGGCATTGCAGCGTAGGGATTAGGGTTTATGCCTGCAGCAGTTTCATGTTCGAGGTTTAGTGACTGCCATTTATTTGGTTTTGTGGGTGTCTTAGGCGTTAAGGGTGGATTGGGCTTAGGGTTTTGCTGCCGAAATAGGGTGCAGGGATTTTGGAGGAAAGGGTTGAAAATTTTTACATTATGGAAGATTACAGCTTGTTTTCTACGGGTCTAAAGGTCACAATATGGGTTCTGAGTGACGTAGCAGTTGCAGTCGTCACCTTGTTACAAAATGCGGTTACTAAGATCCCCTGAGCCCTAAACCCTAACGCCGAACCCCTAACCCCCAAACCCTGAACCCTATA